GCTTATCAGACGTATCAACATGAGTTTTGAAGACCAGATAAATAAAACAATTCTATATCTACAGATATTTTACCCCATATACCTCAACATATTTCCTTCTACAGCTATCGCTGCCCAACACTGCTGACTCCAAGAACCAGATGTTAATATTGGAGGTGTGTAGAAGCAGCCGGAGGAGTCACAGCGGGATTCTTCTTTCATTACTGCCCGAACAGGATTAGTGTTTACTGTGAGCTGAGATTCTTCTCACTCTTACGTCTCATTTCTCCACAACAACACCCCATGTGGCAAAGCTTTGCATTATAAGTGCCAGGTTGGGGAAAAAGCTGAGGGAAGGAAAAAAAAAACAACACCAATCCCGTATATGCACGTTGCTGGATACTTACGAATAATTCTGCATCGTGAATATCAAACATGTCGTCACAAACACACTGGTCAAACGTCCTGCAGAAGGCTGCAAATGAGGTCTGGTTGGAAATAAAAAAAATCCAATGCTTGATCTCTCCACCTCTTTTTTATAATTTTATTTCCAGTCTGGTCGGGAGTCAGTCTGCTTTTATTAGACTTCTAAAAAGTTGCAGCCTTGAAGATTCGTCCTGAATCTCGACACTCGCTGCAGACAGCTTCTCCTTTTTTCTCCACCCACTGTGAGTGCTCACATCTCCCAAAGTGCTGGACTCTTCTTCTCTCTCATTGCAAACTTTTTTTCCATTACTCTACTTTCCCCTCTTTCTCTATCTGCTTCTTCATCCTTCAACTTATTCCCACAGCTCACTCTGGAGGTTCACTCTGGCTCGGCTTCTTCTAAACTGCCCACATGAAGACAATCAACACTGAAACAGTCTCCACGTTTCAGGCCTATCCCACATTTTTCCTCCGTCTTTTTCGTCTCCGGCTCGGCCTGAAGTTTATCCCTCAGAGTACCGAGTCTCCTGCTCTCATCTGCTTAGAATTAATTTGGCCTTCACAGGACGACACAACACCAACACATTCGGCTTTCTGTCCGATGGTAAATAAAAGAGGAGGCGCTGCGGAGGCTGACCTCAATTCTTTTCCTTCTGTTTCATTATTCCAGTCTGTGTTGGTCCCGAGGCAGGGACCAACCCGAGTCAGAGCCTCTGAGTGAAGATCCAACACAACAATTACAACAATTGGACCAACAGCAATCAATGAAAGATGGGGCAAATTAGACAGCTAATCTCTGGATTGTCTTTTCATGAGCATTTGTGCTCACATTATACACATTCATTAACACATGATGCATCACACACACACACACACACACACACTGAGCTCACAGTGCTGTGTATCTGTTTCCTGAAATTCAACCTAATTATCTCAGAAACTTTACCAGTCTGGATCTCAGAGCTCAAACACGTCAACAGAAACCCTCGTGCCAACTGAGATCAGACCACTCCCTCCCTGCGGATTTGCTAAGACGCTGCTTTTCTATATCATTAGAGTGGATTATTTCCAGATTCTGCACACGGCCTCGTCATTTTCTTTTCCCGGCCTGGGGGGAAAGGAACACATCTATGGGCGGGTTCGAGGCTCTTTGCAAACAAGGCGGCATCTGTCTCCTCCTGGGTGCATGCAGATGCGGCAAATAGGAGCTGATTTCAAAACAACCCATAAACCCTCCCCACCCGCCCCCCTCATCATCCCCCAAAATGTGGGACAAATTTGATGTCATTTGCGAGACAAATTGAGAAAATAACTCAGCAGCAAATTAGCTAAATGTGAGAATGAATGTGACTTTTGTAACAAATCTGGAGCCTCAGGCCGGGAGTGATATTACACCGAGATAAGTGTCAGCTTCACATGCAACCATTGCCCATCATTGGAGTCTGTTAGTGCTGTGACCATGATACTGAGACGAGCTGCTGCTGCTGCTTATTGGAAACATGATTTAGGCCAAAAAAAAAAAAAAAAAACCTTTTATCAGTTTTGGAAACATGATTTAGGCCAAAAAAAAACCCCTTTTATTATTATTTTTTTCTTCTGCCTGTAATGTGTGTCTATCAAGGGTGCGTCTTTAGGATCCACTCCCTACACAGTATCAACGTCAGCAGACTACTATGTGAAATGTTAATTAACATTGGAGGACAATTAAATTAATAATAATAATAATAAATTAACTCTGTAATGTGTCGGACTTTTGGCAGATTTTTAAAAAAAAAAAAACCTCCAGACTACAATTAGAACATTTAACTGCGTTTTAACTGCACAACAAATGTTTTTGTCTTTTGCAAAATATCCAAAACACCCACTTTTAAAAGTTAGGCATTCAACAATGAGACAAAAAAAAAAAGCAAAATAGTGCCAGAGAGTCAACAAGATGAGATTTGTAGGAAGCAAATGTTTAAAAAAAAAAAGAAGAAAAAAACATAGAAACTAAATAAACAATGTTTAAACATTTGCAAACACCAAAAACATCCAACAAGTGTTGAGAAAGTAACAAATGGCAGAAAGTATTAAAGTTATTAGGGCTGCTAAAGTTAATGTGATAATAACTTGACCTTTTGACCCCATTGTAGACAGTGGGCAGCAGCTAACGAGCGATACATCGGTGAGGTTAAAATAAAAAATAAACTGATAGGAGCTTTTCTGTTGAATGACAAAGTCAGCTGTAAACTCCTGCCAGATGGTACGTTACCACTGCAGTAATGAAAAGTCATGAGTTACTTAATACCAAAATATAAGCCCTCTTTTTACTACGCCCTACACGGTTTTACTTTTTCACATAAACTCCAATCAAATGTGCACATATAAAATAAAAAGTGCTAAACCGCGGCTCCAGCCTGAAACAACCGGCTCTAACAAACCTCTAAGTGTTAACTGGGAATTTTCCCCTCCATAACCTGACGTCCCAACAGTGCCACACAGTACGGTACGGTACGGTACCTGAGGGGTTATTCTGGGGAATGTAGCCTTCAATAGATTTGTCCTTGGTTTGGGCTGTTGCTATGACAATAAACAAACGTTTATATTAGCCAAACATATTTGTCAAATCCGTAATTTGCTAAAACGAACGATAATTAATCGTGATTAAATATCTTAGTTAATAATTTTTTAATAATTTTAAATCATGGTTTGAAAAAACAAGTCGCCGTGACTGTAATCTTCTACAAACCTGCGCTCCCTGCCAATTCAAACAGTGGCCCGTGGACTACATGTGGCCCAGACTCAACTGTGAATTCATGTTTTGGTCCAAATGTTCTAGTTACGTCCCGTTAAACAGTCAGAAAAT